ACTCCAGGGTGCAAACAACTAAATTTTATGGGTCTCATAGTTTCTCTGGTCATGTCCTATCGTGGTGAACGTCGAAAATAAAAATGCATCGAAAGAAAAAAAATGGCCGCCATTTTGTTTCGTTTTATTTAGAAAATAGATCACGTGACCAGATTTCATACTGTGAAATAAAAAGTACTGTTACCGACGTAACAGTACAAAATTCTTAGTCACGTGGTACACTTGCATTAACAGTAAGAATAACTCCCAGAGCCCTATGGGAAATTAACATTACGAAAAAAGTGAGGAGTAATAATATTAAATGTCGGAAACATGCAATAAATAACATGTTTAAACAGGCTACCATTTTAAAGATTTAAAAGCAGGGTTGTCAAAACACCTGCATGCGATTAAGGATGAGGGATGTTATTTAATTTCTTTGCTAATTGCTATAATTAAACAACTGTGATTTGCTGCATTCTACAGGAATGTTTTATTCGTGTTTCTTTTTCATTACAAAATGCAGTACATGTATACTCGTACATTTCAGTGCTTTTCAAATAAACAGTTTCGAGTTGAACCTATAGTTTTAACATTTTCAAATGTAGAAACAAAACCGATTTTTTAATTTATGCAATAACCAGTAAAATAAATAATGATTTCATAATAATTATATGAAACAAGATACTGTTTATGAACAGATTACCGAAATAAACTATTTTCTTGCTTTTTCCCCTTCAAACAATCTTTCGCGAAGCGATATAGATTTTTTTTTATAAAATTTGTTATTTACGTTCTAAACTCATTTCAGTGCTATAAGAATTATATAACTACTACTATAAAATATCTAAATACCTAGATACCTTTGACATGACCTGTATTACACTTATTATACATAGACATTTTTAGCATTGCCAGAAATTGTGTCTAGTATGTTTCATTGCCAATTGCGTTGATCTGTTTTTCAGAAGTATAAAAACATAATTATTGCGGGGTTAGAGTCAAAGGTATGTAAACTTTACGTATGCATATATGTTGTCGCATAAAACGTATTTGATATTAAAAATAAACCGGCGATTACACTTGATCGTTGAACTTATAAAAACGGTGTCTACGGAGGGCAACATTCATTGGTTATATACATAACCATTTATAAAGATCATACATATATATATATTTATTTATCTAAAATGTGATAAACAAGATCAATAATGATAGGCGGCGTTCAATGAAGTCTCATGATTTATTTACCAGGGATACATTCCTGCGTCAATCAAAATTATACAGATTCGTATTCTCAAATTTTAAGAAAATTAAGGATAATTGTCAATGATCTTTTCTTTTAATATTTGCGGTCTATATTTGTTTGTGGGTTTTCCATCTGCCAGTTTGGAACATTCAATTAAACGCTGTTTCTCTGTTTTATTACATAATATAATGCGTTAAGTAGTTCATTTTATTGCTGCAATTATCTTTTTACTGTTTTATGTAGATAAATTGAGTATGTGCGTGTGTTAATGCTGTAATAAAATGCTCAGATCTGTTTAATTATAATGTTCATGAGAGACGATTGAAAGGGCACAACCTTTAATAATCCAGGGACTGACATGTGCATATTTAACTTGCAACATTAAATTCAATTAAACAAGGTAACAGAGACAAAAAATATACAAAAGCTAGGAATTTAGGGCTTCATGTGTTATTTTATCCAATAAAATTGTTTCATTTTCCAAATTCTTTGGTACATTTTTTAAACCCACACAATTTAGTGCATCATATGTTTAATTTCAACCACTAGTAGGTAAGTATTTGTTAAGACAGCATTAAATTCATTAACTCTTCTTAAAATATAAAAGAAATCCACCGAAACAATTGCGCAGCACCAAACACATTTATTTTAAATGCTGACTAAAAAAAAACACTGACATATACATAGTTGCAATGGGGTACCAGTTTCAAAATTTAAAATATAAAAAAATACATCGAAAAAAAAATCTAAATAAAAAAGTGAATGAAAAATGCATAATCATTGTGAATGAGATATTATCTCGTGAGAGCGAGGTAAATAATATAATATACGTATCATCTCTGTGACAACCTACATTATCACAAAGGCGACGTGTACACTATTAAGTGTGAGAATTGAGTACCGCTCAAGCAGGTGATAGGGGGCGTGAGGGATTTTGCACTGTTTCATTACTCCTCATGTACAGACTCAATCAAACCGAGTCTGCAATTTTTCATGTAATTTTGTTAGGATTTATGCTTCTCCAAGGGATCACACTTTTCCGTGAGGAAGTAATTTAGCTAGAGGTCACTGAAGAACAGTTGTTCTACTCAAATGCCTGCTTGTACTTTAAATAAAGCATGGAGGGGCATTGTAAGTCTTACTCCGAAATTTAAGATGAAGTTGATTCCATTACTTAAAGTGTTTCAGGATTGAATACCGATTAAACCAGTGAAAGTGATTGTTGGAGATATTTCAAGTTCCAATATCTTTTATGAGCTGACTTCAAAATCACTGAAACTAAATCTGCGATTACAAACTATTTGCTTGTATTTCTAATGCCCTTAAGGGATATCCTATGTCTAGAGTTATTTAAACCTAACCATACACAAGTGTATAAATTCCATTCACGTTTCCTAACGAAAGAAAAATTCAATTACAAGCTCGTGCACTTACTGTTTACATCTAAAGCTTGCTTTAGCAATAAAATAGTTCTGATATAACGGTTGTTGACAAGACTGGTGTTATCTTTAGAGGAAAGAGGAAATAAAGGCTTGTTTACAGGTGCAGCTATCAGACATCAACCATATCAATATCCGTTTGCTGACAGTTGTACATTTTGATTTGTTTAAGTACTTCCTATTGTTATAATGAGTAAAAGAAGTGCTGCACATGAATAATGCTATTTTATAAATTGAAATACCGATACTTCATTTCTTGTATTTACAAAACCCAATGTTTTTATTTGTTGTCAACTATAAAATTTTGTTGTCAAAACAAATTTTGATGAAATACTTTTTATTATCTGTCTTTCATACAAGTCAACTATCATTATGTCAATTGTATAACTACACAATATGTTTTTTTTTTTCTTCTCTTTTTAGTACAACTGAACACACAATATGCATGTATATTACTTTAAATGCTATTTATCTGTATGTATCATATAATATATCCTTTTAAATATTTTATTAATGTTAACCGTATTGCAGAATACTTGAAAATTTCAATATACTGTAACATTATCATACGATAGATATATGCAATCTAGAAGGCAGAATGAATTTCTATTATTTATGAAAACAACTGAAACAAAAACTCTAGGTTGGTGGATTAAAAGTGCTTTTAAAAATTATCATAATATCACTTAAATCAATACATGTTGATCTTAGTCAAGACAGTGTTCAAAAAAGGTAACATAATGATAAATTTCTATATTTTTAAAGATATTCTATGCTCATCCTGAAGTAAAAAACTTTAATCGAAATCGTTGTACTTCTTACTGAATATGTCTAATTTGAATGAAACTACGAATAAGCTACCTATGGGAAGCTGCGTTCCCTATTACAGGTCAAATAAAGTTGTTCGTTTCTTTAAAAAAAAACAAAAGCCAGTTTATTTTAATGACACTCTTTATTCATATTGTAACCACCTATAGTGCGTAGAATTTAAAACATATCTTTTTATGTGAATTCAAAACATGCTTATTTCATATTTGTAAAGAGACTGTAAAGTAATTACCAATATTTTCTTATATAAAATTTGGGCATAGTATATATTTTAGAGAATTCTTATCATTTACAGTGTGTTTTAAAGAGAAAGTCTTTTCAATATTACAAAATGCGGATTTTTTATGTGTTTCGTGCCTTTATTTATGTGCAATATTTTGTCACCTGAGAAATATTCAATAAGCAAATTCGAATAAAGATTTATCGCATATATGTTAAATACATACTTGCTATTATAAGTAAATCCTTTGGTTTATATAATTTTTTGTCTGATTGTGAAGGAAGCTATAAACTAATAGACACACTTTCGAATCTGTTCCTGGAGCCAACCACTACTGAGCAATGAGTGCAAAGTTCCTTGCTGAAGGAAACAACGACTTGCCCCTGGCGGGGTTTGAACCCATACGGCTATCGATCATTAGAATGCCTGTTTATTAGGTAAGATATAAATCGGATATTGCTTCATTTAATACTATACACATGTCAATGTGTATTATAAAATGATACACATTTACAATATCGTCAAACTAATAGGAAGGTATATCATTTATTTGTGTAGATCTTGTTCAGGCTTCGTAGAACATGGAATGTAATAAAACCTCATGGAAACTATGACTTGTATGTGCCAACATACTAACGATGTATGTTTACTTTGTTATGAGAGTTTACGGCCTAAGTTTAGTACCTAATGGAATTTAGAAACTATGTAGAATAGGACGGAACCTTTGATCAGATTCATTAAATTAAACATTTCATGTTTGACTCTCTCCGTCCATACATAATACTGATTTCGAGTTACTTTTTATAACTTAATAATATGAATACAATTTAAATTTTCAACTTAACATATTTTCCAACGTTGTACTTAATATTTAATATGTATTTTTTAATATGCATTTCTTTCACATAAAAATAGGTTAATATAAAAAGGATCATTTAAATGTTATATACGACTATTTTGCTGTAATAAGTATTTTTGTGTAAATTAGTAGCGTCTATCTTTTAGAAATGATTTTAATAGTACATAGCAAAGCAAATGTAATTATACAACAAAAATAGTTTATTATATAAACATAAGAAATGTTGTTAACATCAATTACGGTTATCCATGCTGTAGAAGAATACATATTAACTATTCATGAATTGTGGTCGCTTCTTATAGTATTAATTCAGTGCTTACTTATCAAGACACTGGGCTAACTAAATGTAGATAATAGATCTACTACAATCCGTCTTGGAAGGTTATGTGTATTTAATTACCATATTTATTGGGTTAAGAGGCTTACCTTACGTTTAGATCGAAGTTGCTGCATGTCACGAGCATGGTCCCGGTTTCCAGGAGATATCCGTTTCCATAGTAATATTCCAACAATTGAATAAGTTATTGACAAGATAAGCAATGGAATTAAATAGGTAATCACAAAAAGAAAAACTGTATACGTTTTCCTATCATTTATATTCTCCCATTGTTCCTGGCATGAAATGACCCCATAACCATAATCATTAGATCGAGCGACTTTAAACTGTACGGATGAAAGAGCTATACTGCATGTCCAAATTACAACTATCACATATTTTGCTCTTTGTTTTGTTAAACGGGACCGTAATGGAAACATGACAGCCATAAACCTGTCTATTCCAATTGCCATATTTGTAAACACACTACCTGAGACGGAAAACAGTTGAACAAATAGTACTATTGTACACATTGGCTCTGAAAATATCCATGTACCCATCATCGTATAAATGAAAGTAAAAGGCATGCAAAACAATGCCATTATTAAATCACTTATAGCAAGATTTATCAAAAAAGGACGGAGGTCTGTTCTTGAACGTCGTCCACGAGCGAACACAATAATAACAAAACCATTGCCCACAATTGAGAACAGTGTAGTTAACGTGAAAAGAACGATGAGCCCAATTTCAGATTCTTCAGACAACGGCCCATTATTTTCACCGTATGAATTATTTTCAAACTCCGAATTTACAGTGATATTTGATCCACTTGGTGTAATGTTTACAAATCCAAAATTCTTCAAAGATATGTTGACACTTTCTGAACAATTAATATCCCCTTCAGTGCACATCATAAATATATTTTCTCATCGAGGTCTTTGGTCTTTATTGATGATTTTCGCTTCTTATAAAAAATTGAATCCCATAAGGAAATAAATTTCGTATTGTGTGAAGACAAAATTTATTAAACGAAATAGTTTCGTGTTTCAACTTCAACTTAATATTTTGTACAATGATATAATAACAATTTTTGAAATAAGACTTTAACTAACAATGTAAAGTTACGATTGATTTCGATAACAAAATATAAATTAAAAGATACTGAGCTCACATATATCTGTGGTATTCTAATGTAGTAGAAAGCCTAACAAAATGTAAACATATTTGACATCTTTACATATCTAAAGAGTTCCTCTGTTATTTATTCACTTTATGTGTCGTTAATTCCTGTTATCAATTATTCCATTTAGTCCCCTCTAACATATATAATAGACACAATGAATTAACCAATTACAAGCTATCAAATGGTCCGAAGAAATCCTACATTTGACGCCGCAGTACAATTTGGTATTGGAGATAAAACTCTGTAGAGATATTCCTTATTACTTGTAACGAATGCTTTTATTCCAATTTTCTCTCTACTTATTGCATTCCCTTAATTCCTTCTTAACATCTCGCACAGTTTACTATGATATTGGGTAGGAGAAAACGGATAGTTATCTCCATAAGATTTTCTTTATTCTCTTTAAGATTAAAGAATAATATACAATATACTGTTATTCAAGTCAGCTTATATGTAAGAGCACATCTATCTTTTCAATTCGTTTATATCAAAATCTAAATTTATTTTGAGTCCAATCCGACTTTGTATAATTGTATCAGGTGCAAGTTTATCTATATATTCTAAAGGTTTAAAACAAATGTCTATAAAGAACATAAAGATAATTAATTACCTTTAATGACTGATATAATGCTTGTAACAAGTTAACAGGTTTTATAAAAAAAATATAACTGCTTGGCTTTTTTAAAAACAAACGTAATATAAAATCACTATCATCATATCATTATATCATTGGCAACTGATATACATTTTCAGGAAAAAAAACAACACTTTATTATCTTGCATTAAAAATCAAAATTAAACGCTAAAATGAAGATTTTTGTCATTTTGAATGTCCATTTACTTTTTAAGTATTAAGGGTCAAAACTTATATCTACGTTAAAGAAAATATAATCATTCAATTAAGATTAATAAAAAAAACAGTTTTGGAAAATAAAATTAGACATGAAGTCACTTTTTGTTTAAATGTAAAGCGCCTTGTAACCTTCATAACGGAGAAAACATTTAACCGTTATCGCAAATCACGAACATTATGACGGCTCGCCCACCACTTAGTCTATGTTTCTCTGTCAGTCCATTAGACTACGTATGGTTTGGCGAGAACAATGTAAATATTTTATATCACTTTACCAGATAATAGCGTATTGTTAAAAGGCTAATGACGTGCCTTGTTGTTTTGGTTTACCAAGAGTTGATAATGTGAATAAAAAGAAATCATTATGTTTGATTTGAGTTTTGCTTGTGAAACTAAAAAGAAGCTGTAGGTGGCTTTTTAGATATTTCTTTTAACAATTCTTTTATAAATTAATCCGAACCGATAGTGGTAATAAGGCATTATTCACAGTCAGTCTTATGTCATAATATTCTCTAAATATTGTCAAAACATCAAATTTTTGTACGACAGGTTCTTTCAATTATTGTGGAACATAATTGTGCGTTGGACAGCAAGCGGTTCGGGGCTATTATTCATTCTTAAAGGCAATGTTTTACCATATGCTTTTCAGTACATAGAATGTACATGTTATGTAGTTATTTGAAAAACAAAGACTTCAACTGTTTTAAATTTTTAATAAATGTTCATCATAACATAAGACAATTTGCTATTACGTTGCGTCTTAATGAAATACAAAGATGATTCACTGCTCGATGAAATAACATAAAAAATAGAAGTCGAGTTACAAAAATTCATGTTAACAATAAAAGCTGACTGACACATGTTTTAGTAAACAAACATTTATCTTTCTGTAATTTTTCGGTCAACAAGTATGAACTATTTTAAGTACATTTTAATTGCCCGCCTGTGACAATATAAAAATAAATATTTAATCAATCTCTTTTTCCAATGTGTCTGTGTCAATGTAGGGTAACATAATGAATTGATTATCCTTTAAGCTGATTTGTTCATCTGAAGAGTGTTATATATTCTACAATTAATACAGCAGGACAAAAATAACATGCATTGAAGCCTCATTTTGATACAGCCGTACCAGAAAACAAGGAGCAAACGTTCTGTTCTAAATCAAGATTGATAAACTGGTCGCTTTAAGAATTTTCGTTCAAGAATATAAGAAAATAAATATACATGTTTTATGCATTATAGATACCAAATAACTGGTCTCTGAAATAAGTTATATGTAGACGCTAATGTGAAAATAAAATAAAAAGATTTTAACAGCTCGTTTAAGACGTCTAGTTGACGTGGTCGTTAACTACTATTTCTCAGCACGTGTAGTGTTTGTCTGGATATACTCGGCGTATAAATGAGTGATTAAAAAATTCTATGGAGGACATTTTATGGCAATTAAGGTTGTCATTTAGACTTTATTTGACGAAAAAGTAGTAGAGCAACAACTAAATTCAGTTTAAGGAAGAACAAATCTAGTATACATCACCATTAATCAGGCAATCTAAAATATGTTTATCTGTTAATCCGATTACTTGGACACTTTATCATGCAAACACAGGCGTGTGGTCAGTTATAAATCACTTACTTTACTTTAAGCCGTTCAAACAGAGAGGGAAAACAATCATTACGGGTGACGAATCAAAAATTAAACCATTAATGTGATTCTGATTCTCATAGCTAATATCTATTGTTTTATCAAGTCCGTAGCTTTAAGCTCTACAATTTGACATGTTTTATTTGCAACTAGACAGATTACAGATGTTATCTCTAGACGAAATATTCATAACTTGATTGTCAGCGAAACAATTTACTCTGTCGATTAATCAAACATGTTTTATCATAGTCGTATATAAACATTTTGACAGCATTATTTCCCGGGGAAAATATCACCATATCTAGTTTCCTGTTACGGTATTGTAAATATATTTTCTGAAATAAAAGTTGAAGATGTTTAGTGTGTTATCTGTTCCTGCTAGCAGTTTATATTAGAAGCACAATTTTAAATAGCATAACAACACTCGTAGCAACTTAAACTATGAAGATCAAAGGGAGTATTATGTTTAACTGCTAATTGGTAAGGCGTTTGTTCCTCTTTTTTTTTGGATATGTATAACAAATGGCATATAAGAGCTAAAATAAGATATTTGAATATCTAAATGTGTTGAAGGCAAATTATGCCTCAGAAATAATTAATTTTTTCCTTGAAGTTCTTTAAAAATGACAAACATGTGTATTACATGTATAAGGTTTAGATATTAGTATAATAAGCATGTTAGATGTTTTTTACCGAAATTATGTGATACTGAATATTATGAACGTTATGAATAAGAATAAAACCCTCAACATACTTTTGAGAAAAGACACTTTTAAACTTATTTTCATGATTTTTAATGAGAAATATCTTTAAGATATGACTGATGTAAATAATTAGAACTTTTCTGGTTTTCCTTTTTCATAATACGTGTATTAACTGGTTTGCTATAAACATTATCTTCTTTTTAAGATGTTTTAACATATTATTAAGGTACACTGATGTACAATCTTAGTTAGTTACTAACTTTTTAGTTTGTTCTTCAGAGTTTATTTACGTCCATTTGTGTAGGAACCTATAACCTAAAAGACAAATTCGATAATACTTTCTTCGAATCGCAATGAATGAAAAGTTTCTTGCTCAAGGAAACAACGATTAAATGTTGCTGACAATCAAAGAAACAATTGTAATAAACCGATTTTTGTTTGATTTTCTTTCGGTTTAATTTATTACTTTTACGATTTACGAATTATTTGGGATATATACATACATATGTACAGTATATACAGCGTTTTAAGACCAGATAAAGAACGAGAGACGCCGTATACGCCTTTATAGAAATAAAACTAGGGGGCGTGGACGGTAGTTTGCTCTTATCAGTACCGTCTTTTTTTAATTCATTTCTCAATTATACACAAACCAAATAAATACAAATACTATATGACTGTAGAAGTACATTCATGAAAGTGCAAGGGTATGGTTTCCGTCGATTTATCGATTTGATCCAAACAAGTGATATTTACTTCTAAATGTCAAAAGAATGTATCAATAATTTGAGATTCCCAGAAACGGGCTTGAAGACATTGCAATTTTATAGGATAAAGATTATAATCCTCTTAATAATGTTCAGTCTATTTGCTCGTATACTGGTTTCAACGAAGACGAAAATTCCTTAGAACGTAATTTTAGCTTATTGCTATATTCTATTTCCATCATTAGATCATTTACCACAAGAAATCAATCTTAAACCATTATAATTAAATATAATTTGTATCTTATATGTTTAATCTTGAAACTTACAGCATTGTGGCGCCACTGATAATTGCATTCTATCAAATTAAAGGTATGTTTGCATGTGTGATTAAATCAAATTTAAAGCAGATATTCTGTCAAGAGCTTATTAGATGAAAAGTTCAATGTATTCGCAATATAAATAATTACAGCATTTGTATATATCTAATAAAACATGAATAACACAGAAGATAATTTAAAGTACATTTATCAAATATCATTTCCTACATATGTTTTAACTTCCTCTCCAATTTGCATTTTAGAACAAAGTTTCCAGAACATCTTGTTTAGTGCCTCCAACGTCTGTTTTCATTGCGATCCTGTTATTCTTAGCAGACAGCACCTGCATGAACTGTTTTATATACATGTATAAAACTGCTGGGGTGTCCTCTCCGCTTATACATAGATCCATAACCTGTCTTATTCTAATTATCAAACTAGTGGATACAGTAAGAATTTCGACACAACATAATTGTTTACGAAAGAGCACATTGTCAAGTTTGTTGTAAAATCTTTTTAGTTAAAACGGCAGATTAGAAATCTATCAATTTGTCTGACTTATCAATCTGCTGTATTTGATATTTTATCAAGCTGTTTACTTTCAAATTTCTTTGTTGTATGTAGCACCATTTTTTACCTATATAGTAATTGAATCTTATTGAATGCTTCTTTGCATTTCTTAACAAGGACTACACTCTTCAAATTTGTGACGCAAAACTTTTATCTACACATTTGATATTTTAGAAGTAATTTAATAAAATGTCTTAATTTTTTCTATAGGAATTGAAATAATAAAGATGCACAGACAGAGTGCAAGTCAGTGCCAAAATGCCAAAATTGTGTCCAGCATATTTCATAGTCGATTTCTTAAATCTATTTAACGGTATTGCATAACAAAGAATTATTGCAGGATAACAGCAGAGGTTGTATCACATTTATTACAAATGTATTACGCTCGTGTTGTTCATCAATTACAGCTATAATTGACTGTTAAATAATTCATATTACAAAACCGTATCGAAACCAATCATTGTATATTCTAAGAAACGCGCTCTTATAACAATCTTAACAACGTATAAAATAATCAAAGT